AAAAAAAAAAAAAAAAAAAAAAAAAAAAAAAAAAACACTTTCAGCCTTTTTCCTTAAGGAAAGCATCCATTTACCAAAGAGATACATCACTGTCTGGTTTTAGAAAAACAGACTTTTGTACAGATAAACGTAAATTAATTGCTGGAGGCCACCTATCGCTCTATTTTCATTAAGTATACCCCCATGGATTTGTGAGACACTATAATTCTTTTGTGTCCCTCATCAAGGGTAGTCCAGCAACAGGAACTGAGATTTATTTCCTCACCTTGCCGTATGAGTCCTGTGGCAAATTTGTCCCTCATGTAGGTAATGTCACATAAAAATTTTCCAGTTTTCACTTCAGGTCGTTCTCAGTATGCTAGAGATTTCTTGAATGGAATAAATAAGTTTTTGTGACCTGGGAGCCAAAGAATGACATTATATAATATTAATTATTCTTTGTGAACTTCTTCAAAGATAATATCTTTTTGAGCATCTAGGGTTTGGGACTTGGAGAAAGATTGCTCATTTAGGGTACAATAAGCTCAGGAATTTTCTTTTAATTTTATGTTATTTCTTTAAATGGGCATCTACCTTGCTAATTGTCAACTTGCTTAGGAACTATTAGAGCTACTACAATGTTTTTAATCTTAAGTAATCTTTCAACAATTCTGAAATATTCAAAACATTATTAACTGATCACAATGCAATGCACTATATAGCATTAAAATTTATTCCTCCAGTCTAATTGAAACTTTGATGAATGTCTTTGATGAATGTCTTCCCATTTCTTTCCCTGTTCTCAGCAGACACACACACACACACACACACACACACACACACACACTCTGAGTAGGGGGGGTACCGGATATGCTAAGTAGTTTGACTGAATCTTTTTATAATGTGTGCATAGACCAAAATATCATAGTGTACTTCATAAATATATGACATTATTATTTCTCAGTTAAAATAAATAAATAAAGCTTTAATCTGCTAACAATTCAAAATTTGAGTTCCTATTAGCTAAGCACTCTCCTTTCCCTAAAGGTTTCCAGAAGTCACGGATGGTTCCAAAGCACTTCTTACACTGATGTGCATAAATATTCTTGTCTTTATTTAAATGAAAGGCATTAGAAACAGAATTCTGTCATCCTAGAGTAGTTTTTGCCTCTGGGGCAAAAACTAGTGATGAGTTAATCTCGTTACATTATGTCCTGCTTGATATTTTCTGATTTCATTCTTCGGTATATTTGACAAAGGAAGAAGATTAAATATGGATTTCTAGATATGTTTGGATAAATTGGGGTATTTTAATGAATTTTTACATATTTAAGAGGTACAAGTCAACCATGAGTTTCCTTCTTGTAATGGAAGTAAAATAATTTAAGTTTTGCAATGATGAAATAAAATATGGAAAGAATAAGTTAATCAAATATCAAAAAGTAAGCCTCCTTTGCTCACAAATGTTACATATTTTCAGTAGGCAGCAATGATTGGTAAGTAAGGAATCGTTAATTTTAGGGTATACTATACAATCATGTTTGTAGGAAACTCCACCAACATGGCAGCTGCTGTTTTTGGCTTTAGATGAGTATAATATTGAAATTGATCTGAAAGAAAAGTATTTACATCATATTATATTGTGAGGATCCCATAACGGTAAGTCAGAAGAGATAGTTTGCTTTCTCAAATGCTTTATGTATGATAGGCAACAAGATTCATGAGTGGGCAGTGCATGATGTATATCTGTTGAGAAGATAATTTTTTTTTTTTAGTCTTTTTTTTAGACATGGCCTTGTTATGCAGTTCAGGCCTTAAGCTCACTTTGTAGCCCAGGCTGGCCTCAAACTAGCAACAATCCTTCTGCCTCAGCCTCACAAGAGCTGGGATTACAGGCATATGCCAAACTGCTAAAATGAACTATCAAAATCCCCTAATGTGCCTGTCTTTACATAACCCTTTCCTCCATCTGTAGGCAGAATCATTAAACATGACAAATATCAACTGAGTTTCTTACATGACAAAGGTGTAATTTTTCAGATTAACTGGAGTATCTAGTTAGCTGGATTTAAATGATCTGAGGGACATTATTTGGATGGGATGGACTTAAACTGATAAAAGCCATAAAAGCAAGAATATTTCCAGGTGGCCTCAAAGAGAGGCAGAATGTCATGGGGAAAGCTTCCAGTGTAAAGAGGCAGCCTCTGGAAGTTGAGGAGCACAACGATACAGCTACAACAAATTGAATTCTAGCAACAGACTTAATGTGCAATCAGATTTCAAATTCCTGAAAAGAACAGCAAAGTGAGGATCATCCTACTCTTAACTCCTCAGACTGAACAGAGGACTTGACTAGAGCAAAGTCTTTTCTGATCTCTTGATCTGTGGAAATATGATTTCACAAATGCATAGTATTTTAAACAGTTAAATTTGTGCTACCTCGTTGTTCAGCAATAGAAAATTGATACATTTGGAAACTGCTGTCTGCTATAGCCAGGGAGATACAAGGAATAACCTTTAAGATATTTTTCGCTACTAACCCGGGAAATTCTGCAGGGTTATTTTCTTGCAAGAATAAAAAATTCTCCTCACTGAGATGAATTATGCTGGAAGTAATACAGTTTGACAAAATTTTGATTTCTATTTAGAAATCTTATAACCAAATAGAAATAAAATAAGCAGATACAGGAGTCCTAAAGCATATCAAACCTAGGAGTACAAAGAAGAGTAATATTATGTAAGAGGTAATCAATATGACATACTAGAGAAGTTTATGGCCTTTAAGGTGCCAGTTGAGAACTTTTAAAAATCCAGTGCCCCATGAAGTCCTATGATCAAAACTATTAGTGTGTATTTTCAACTTCCTCAAGATAAGTCAAATAAGTTTTTTTTAATTTTAAAAATAAAAGGAGGAAAACATTAACAGACAGACAACCTTTTACAAAATAGCAAAAGAACAGTACAGACAATACAGAGTTATAAACAAACTGGTAGGAAATTAACGATGCCTGTTGTATTACATATTGAGTAACAGAGATGATAAAAAAGAGACAAAAGAGATTTATAACTACAAAATATGTAATTTTCTTTAAGTACCAAACATAAAAGGAATTTTGAATTTAGTAGTACCAAGAACTAGGAGATCACTATTAGATTTATATCCCAAATTTTTGGACAATATGTATATCTATCTTTGCATTTGGATTCTTAAAACATATTGACTTAGAGAATGAAAGATGATAGACATATTACAAAGAAAAGTACAAGGTTTGATAAGCCACATCCCTCTTAGATTTTCTTTTATATTAGTACTGCTCTGGTATTACAGTATATGGTCCAAATGTGGCTAAGCATTTGCAGGACCTAAGTAATATTGAAAAATCAGTATAATTTATGCCTAGAAGAATGGCTACTCCTTTGACCTGCAACTTGTGTTAGAGTATAGGTAAGTCATTGTTAAAATAGCTATAACCTGCTTATGATGGAAGGTATCCTCAGGAATGTCCAGGAATAGGCTCTCAGTAGTTAATTTTACAGTACATCCCTACCCCACCACATTTGCTTGTGGATGTGATGTCATAAAGGAAGAGAGAATGTTTCTTAGTTAAAGGTCTGAGGGTAACAGTTATGGGCTGGGTCATGCAAAATGCTTGAAGGTTATCAGCAGCTCCTGACACATGATAGCTGTTAGATTTCAGGGAGAAATTAGGTATAAGTGTCAGGATATATGCAGATATCATAGGGTCTCTCCACTAAAAAAAATTGTACAGGTTTTCTTTTATATTCAGAGAAAGTTTGCCTTATATAAAAAAGAGACATTAGACACTTGACTTCTTCGTAAAGAAATGCCATTAATTATCCTGTTTGGCTTTTCTTAGCTAAAACAGTATAACTGTTTTTCCAATTACAGCGAGCAATATCCTCAGGAACTTTTTTGCACTTTGAGATGGGGCCTCAAAATATTGCTAAATTGCCCAGGCTAGGTATGAACTTGTGATCCTCCTACCTCAGCTTTCCAGAGTTCTGAGATTACAGTTTTGTGTCACCATGTTTAGTTCAGCTGTGGATTATTGCACTTTTGTTCATGAATGTGTGTGCAGTTGGAAGGTAGGGTCCATTTGGAGAAGGTGGCTCACTGGGGCTGTGCCTTTGGTTGGTGTACTTCTTGCTTGTATTTTTACCCTGTTCTTTACTTCCTATAGACACAAGTGTATTTATTTTATAACCTGGATTATAATTCAATACTACTATTTATTTTGTTGTTTAAATCGGTCTAGGGATACTCTAGTGAGTGCTTTTTATTTAAGCTAATTCTTGCATTATTTTGACAGGCCCTATCTATGCATTTGTACTTATTAAGGAGTATTTTCTTGCTTTGTAGCACTATAAGATGCCCTGGAATCATTTGTATATTTTCTAGTGCACCAGCACTAGAATTAGTCTTTCCTAAGAAAGCCTTAGTGCCTTCTATTAGAGAATAGTGTCTGGAATCTGAATATCAAAAACCTTATTATTACAGAGCTTTCACTATTTATCCTTTCAGTAAATACACAAATTTATATGCATGGAGTCACATATGTCTATATTGATTTTTTCACCTACATATATGTGTGCTAAATAATCATGTACTCTATCACAGCTCTAATCTATCACAGTATTCACTGAAGGCTTTCTGTCTTATTTTGTAACCTTTTTTCTGATAGTAGAAACGATATGTCCTCAAACACATTGCGGGTTGTAGAAAATCTACATTTTATTTATTTAATTCTATAACTCTAGAGATTGCAAAGTAATTTCAGAATTCCTAAATATACTCCTATTAGATGAGCATTATCAACTATAATACAGTGTTCATATGAAATTATTCCTGTTATAATTTTATATTATCCAGTGAAACTACTACTTTCCACAGTTATGTATGGGAAATTTTTTCTACACCCGTCACTGACTTGTTAAGCTTTAGTAGCACAGTTAAACTCATTTGGTACAGTCTTAATTCCATTTTAGGATTCCCAAAATCTTAACTGAACTTGTATTTTAATATGAATACATACATTAAATTTATTCTATACTGCTTATGCCTATAATTTTGAAAAAATGCGTAGAATTCTGTGACCACCTCAACAGTACCATATTGCAAGGAGTATCACCCTATGTGGTTTTGTATATTCAAATCCTAACATTCTCATCAATCCTTGAGATTTTTTCAATCTTCATCCTTCTACCACTTACAAAATGTTACACAATCAAAATCATAGAATATATATGGTCCTTTGAATCTTACTCCTTTATTTAACAAAATTCCTTCATAGTGTTCTGTGAATCAATAGTTATTTTAAGCGCTCAGTAGTATTTCTTTGTATGGATACACTGCAGTGTGTTGATTATTCACATATTTCAGGGAATATTGTCCCCAGCTGAAGACTTATATAAATATTTATATGCCACATTTGTATAAGACTCTAATTTCACAAGAGTTGAAAATACACGTGTTATTATTGTTTTGTATGATAAGTATTAGGTGCTTAATTTTATAAAAAATCGTGAGTTTTCCAAAGGGGAGGTATTCTTTCTGGATTTCCATCAATGATAAAAGAGTTCCCATTTCCTGTATCCTTACTAGATTTTTATATCATCCCTTTTTATTTTGTTTTTGATTTTTATAGGTATGTAGATGTAGTTCAATATGCTTTCAATTGTCACTTAAATCTTTCTTTCCTAAAATGTTTGATTACATTTTTAGCCATCTTAATTTATTTTTTCTTGTGTTTGTCAAACGTTCTATATATATCTGAATACAGATTTATTAACTAAAATATAATCTCACATTTTCTTCTAGATTGTGGCTTGCATTTCCTTTTTGAGTATCTTTTGAAAAGCAAAAATCATAATTTTGATAAATACAGTTTATTGAAAACATGTTTTATGTTTTATGGTTTTACCTAAATATTTATCACTATATTCAATGCCATGCAGTTCTCCCAGACATTTTATAATTTTGTGTGTTCCAATTTAGCAGAAAATTCTTATGATCTATTTCAAGTTATATTTTACTAGGTATAACATATGTGCCAAGGTTTGTTTGTTTGTTATTTATTTATACTGAGTCCAGCTGTTCCAGCACTAGTTCTTAGAAAGAATATGCCTTTTCTATTGAATTGTTTTTGCAAACAATCAGCTGAGCTTGTGAATCAGTTTCTAAGATCTTTATTCTATTTCACTGACTTATGTGCCTGTCTTTCCATCTATATCACAGAGTTGGATATTGTATGAAATCTGGTAGTTTCACACCTCCCTTTTTCCTTTATCAAAGTGGTTTGTCTGATCTACTTTCTTTGCCTTTCCATGCAAATATGAGGATCAACTTGCCAATTTTTTTTAATTTGTTGATAATTTTATTTGATAATTTGAATCTATAGAACAATTTGGTTAGAACTAACATGTCAAATATTGTTTCAAACTGTGAATAAAACTTATGTAGCTCTCTGTTTATTTAGATCACCCATGACTTTTTAATCAGTATCATTTTGTTTTAAGCATTCAGCTTATGCATGTATTATTTTGTACTTACACCAACAAATCGATTCCTCAGTGCTATTGTAAATTATTTCCTCTTCCTATATCTGGTGCCTTGAGATTTTCTCTTTGTTTTGTTATTTCTTTCTACTTATTTATTTTCTTTTACTTTATGAAAAAAACCCAAAATTTTGTAACAAAATGGTGAGAAGATGACAATAATTAATATGCTATGTCACTATCTTCAAAACAGTTATTAGAGTTCAAGACATCAACAAAATAGTTCCTTTATTACAAAGAAACTAGTAGTATAATTGAAACAAGATAGCACATATATTAAAATGCTGTTTTAAGAATACAATAGGTGATTTGGGGAACTGTCTGAACCTCTGCCCATTTCCCATTTATCTCTTCTCCATTTTGCTCCTCATTTGTGTGTGTATACACTTTGGGTTTCTCATATTAGAGAAGCAGTGTAATATTTAAGCTTTTGTCTCTAGCTTATCTAGCTGTGTGGTGCTTCAGTGAGTGCATATATTGTTCAGTGACAGAATACAGTGATTAGCATAGTCTTAGAGTCAAGTATTTACCATATTTTTGTGGTGAGAACACTGAAAATGCTATTTTGAAAATATGAAATTCATTATTATTGCCTGTCATCAGTCTACTGTGCAACAGAACACCAGGACTCTTTCATTGTGTTTCACTTTATTTATTACTCTTCTGCCTAAGTCGTCCCTCTCCTTTGTCTTCCCTAGCAAGGCTAACCACTTATGAGGTGGAAGATTTAAAGTCCACACATGAGGGGGAATATAAAGTATTTGTCTTTGTGTGCTTGGCTTATTTCATTTGCCACAGTACCTTCCAGATTCGTCCATGTTGTTGCAAATCACAAGAATTTGTTCTCCTTATGGTTGAGTGTCTATGTACCACATTTTAATACATACACAGGTTGCTAGGCAATTAGAATTGAACCAAGAGCCTTCATGCTAAGCTATGTCCCCAGCCTTTTTTTTTTTTCCTATACCGCGAATTGAACTTGGGACCTTGCACTTGCCAGGCAGGTGCTTGTGCCGCTGAGCTACAACCCTAGCCCCTCAGCCCTTTTAGAATTAAATTGTTTTTTAATTTGCAGCAGGGTCTTGCTAATTCATTAAGTTACCATACTGGGATGAAACTTGTGGTATGCCTGTGTCCTGCCCCAGAGAGTGACCCCATACCTTGGTTATAGTGAATAGTGATGCAGGGAGCATAGGAGTGCAGTCGCTAATTTTTAAATGTTTGTTAGTGCACGTTTACCATCCATAATGATCACATTCATCATGGAGAGTGGGTACATGTGCATAACACATCTTCATTTTTTTCCATTTCCTTCCCCTCCCTTTTTTCCCCCTCCCTCCTGCGGTTGACCCCTCCCTTTTGCAAATGATCAATGTCAGTGATTGATTGCATTTTCTGTGGTTATTTACACACTGTGAGCTTGCTGGCTCATGTGGTAGTTTCAATTTTAATTTTTTAGAGTCCTGCACACTGTTCTCCACAATTACTGCACTAATTTACATTTCCATCAACCATCTATAAGAGTTTCCCTTTCCCAACATCCTTGGAAGCATTGCTACCTTTTGACTTTTTCATAACAGCCATTCTAGCTGTGGTGAAGTGGTTTCACTGTAGCTTTGATTCCTATTGCCTTGATGACTAGTAATGATGAGAATGATTTTATTAAACTTGTCCAATTTTATTTATTCTTTTAAGAAATGTCTATTCAGTTCTTTTGTCTGTTTTTCAATCAGTTATTTTTTATTTTGTTATCGAATTGCTTGAACTCCTTTATATTCTGGATATTACTCCCTGTCGGATGCATGGTTTAGAAATATTTTCTCCCCTAGTAAAATGTGGATCTTCACTCTGTTGATAATCTCTTCTGCTGAGCAAAAACATTGTATGTGATGTAACTCCATTTCTGTACATTTTTTATTGCCTTTACTTTTGAGATCTTTAACCAATAATCTTTGCCTGCACCAATGGCATAAGTTTTTTCT